GGGCGGCGCCCCCCGCCGGCGGTCGTGTGGTACAACCCGAGGTGGTCCCCTTCCCGCTGCGTGGTGGTACGGCCGGGTTCTCCTGGCGTCCAGGCCCGGCGAAGGAGGCGCGGTCTCGCTGCCCCGACCTCCGCCCCCCCGAGTGCGACCCGGCAGCTGGACTAGGCGGCTCCCATGCGCCGGACGTCTTGGGCCAATAAGGAGCTGCCCTTTGCCTGCCGTGCGGTGATACTGCTGGGGGCCCACCCCGTGCCCCGCCCGGGGCCCTGCTGGGTTCCTGGCGCACGTAGTCCAGGCCAGGACTTGGGAGACGCCTGCACTGGCCGGAGCTCCGCGCCCTCGGGGCTCTGGTGCTACCCACACCGCCCGGCGCCTGTTCTAGGTGGCCGGTGGGGGCGGTTCTCAAGGCTGTCCGGGGCAGTCTGGCTGCGGGAGGGAGCTCCAGCTCTGTCTGGCTTGTCTGTTAACCCCTTCTTTATGGCCCTAGGGACTCTGGGACCCTCCTGTGGGGTCTGGCTTCGCGGAAGCCTTTGGAGTCCAAGCCTGGGCGGGGCACCGCGCGGGGCTGTCAGCGGCTGGCCGCCGTCTGTCGAGTGCTAAAGTACTCTGGGCACTGAGAAGGTATAGTAAGTCACGGGAGAAGACTGGTCTGCCTTCACTAGGACCCGCAGGGCCAGCTTCAGACGTGGATCACCGCACTGCTGGGTGGATCCCCAAGCCTGCAGCCAAGGGCGATTTGACCTCCAGCTCCCCTCTCTGCACGTTCCTCTCTACTCCAGGGCCAAGGCGCTCCGGAGGCCGAATCACAGGACATCCGGGCCGTAGTGGGCAGGAAGGTGCCTGCTCTCCTTTGCTGCTGACAAGAATCTCCGAGCTCTTTGTGCCCACCTCTAAGTAGGAAGGAGTCCCCCTTACCCTCCTCCTTCAGATCAACCATAGTCTCCCACATCTGCCTCAGGGCCTGACCCCCGCCCCCAACACACACACAAGGGGAAACTTTTCTTTTGGCTCCAACAAGTTCCAAAGGACCCTTCTGTCCCTGTCCCTCCCTGTCCCCTGATCCTTGGCCCTAGGCTACTCCGCTCAGCCATCCTGGTCCCCTGGGTGCACTCCTGAAGCCCTGTATCTGCCCTCCCCTACCCTCAGCGGCCTCCTGAAGCGAGCCCAGGCCTGGGCTGCCATGCCAGGGCCCCAGGGTAGCATCTGACCTAGCAGGAGCCTCAGGAGCTTGAAGCCCAGGGGCAGAAATCCAAGTTCGGGGGGCGGGCAGGTGGCATGGTGAATAAGGCGCTGGACTCCCAGATGGTTGACCACAGTGCCTGTCCAGGACCTGGTGGCATGCTTTCTCACTCCTCCCTGTCCCATCTCTCTCTGGTCAAATTAAAAATGATGATGATGATAATAAAATTTTAAAAACAAAATTCGAGTGCACAGTGTTGTAAATGTGACCACCTGCGGGTGGGGATGGCGCACAAAGGGACCAAGAGCCTGCTCAGTTCTCCTGGGAGTCAGAAATCCAGAGGTCAGCAAGACCTGGGTCCTATGGGTTCGGTGAGATCCCGCAGGAGGCCCGCGTCTTCAGAGCAGGGTGTGATCACTCAAGGGAACAGTTTGGAAGGAAGAAGTCCGGGACTAGGGAACAGGAGAGGCAAGAGGACAGGATAACTCTGAGCTCCTGTCTTGCCCTGCTGGCATGACACTCCTGCCCCCCATGAGTCCTGCCAATTCCAAATGCACCCTTTCTCACCTTCTGGAGTGGGGTGAATGGTGCCCCTCCCCCAAAATACTCCATAACCTCATACCCAGGCCCTGTGTGTGTGACCTTATTTAGAAAAACTGTCTTCACAGATGTGATTAAGTGAAGAATCTTGCTGGCATGGTGGTTGGGGTATTGGTCTCCCACATGGCCAACCACAGTTTGAGTCCCAGACCTGGCAGCTTGCTTTCTCGCTTTCTCTCTCCCTCCCTCTTTCTCTGGTGTGCATGTGCCCTATAACAAATGGAAAAAAAAATACAATTAAATAAGTAATTCTTTTTTATTAAATTTTATTTATTCATTCTTTTTTTTTTTTTAAATTTGACTAGAGAGAGACAAAGACAAAGACAGAGAAAGTGAGAAAGCAAGCCACCAGATCCAGGACTTGAACGGTGGTTGGCCATGTGGGAGTGTCCAGCGCCCTAACCACATGCCCACCTGCTGGTCCCTAAATAATTAATTGTTTAAAAAGAATTATGTGGGGAACCAGTAGTTAGCGTAATGGCTATGTCGCTGGACTCCCACGTAGTTGACCGTGGTTCACGTCCTGGACCCCGTGGCTTAGAACTCACGCCGGGCGCGTGTGCGTGTGTGCCCAGGATCCTGGGAGGAGAATGGAGGAGAAGGGATTGCGGTGTGACCATCCCCCCTGGGGGGTGATTTCTCGCTTTCTGTCTCTAATGTCTCTCTCTTCTGTCTGGCGAGCGCACACGCCCTATAGCAAAAATCTCTCCAAAAAAAAAAAATTATGTGAATCCTAGATTGCCTGGGTGGCCCTAAATCTAATGACAATTGTCCTTGTAAGTGACAGAGGAGAGGCATGCGTGGAGGGAGAAGGCTACGCGAAGACGGAGGCAGAGACTAGTAATACAGCCACACCCAGCACCCAGAGCCCTGGCAGCTGGAAGAGGCAGGAAGGCTCCTTGCAGAACCTCTCCAGCAAGTGAGTCCTCTCAGCCATGATTTCAGACTCCCGGATGCCAGAACCAGGAGACAATGCATTTCTGCAGTTTTAGCCATCACCCCACCACACGCGCGCGCGCGCACACACGCACACAGTCATTTCTTATGCCAGCCCCAGGATGCTCATCAGCCCTACCTGCCCTCCTCCGAACTCCCCAAGGAAATTTGGGGGTTTGTTTTTTAGAGAGATTTTTGCTATAGGGTGTATGCACTTACTGGAAAGACAGAAAGAGAGAATGGCCACACTGCAATCACTTCTCTTCCATTCTCCTCTTGGGATTTTGAGCACATGCCCATGCACCCAGCATCAGTTTGAAGCCTCCAGGCCTGGGACTCGAACTGTGGTTGGCCATGTGTGAGTCCAAGGACATAACCATTATGCCATCTGCTGGTCCTCCCCACCTCCCAAGAAATTTTAACTTCCTTGTTCTCATCCCACTGACGCCCTCCTGTTCCTGGCCATCTCCCTTGTATATCCTCCCTGGCTCTGGAAGTTCCTAGCCACTGGGGATGAGGTGGGGCTGGGCAGGGGGTTGTACTCAGGCTCAGTGCTCATCCAGCCCTGCGTGCATAGGCCTAAAGGCAGGCAGTGGGGGTTGGGCTGAGCCATCTGAGAGGCTGCCTGGGCTGGACAGAGCCAGGGAAGCTCCCAGCCCAGCTTCATCACCTGTCTGTGCAGGAACATGAGTGCAGCATCTGTGCCCATTCATCTCTGTAAGGGGCAAGAGTAGCACATGCCAGCATGAGCCAGGAGCCCAGCGGGAGACTCGGGATGCGAGTCTGAGTGGGGCATGTGTGGGCAGGATGCATGTGTGTGTGTGTGCATGCATGCACACTGGCACAAGCATGGGAGAGGTGGTGGGTGGGCAATCCGTCAGTGTGCAAGTGGTGGTGCTAACAGGGAGGTTGTCTGTGGCTGTCCGTGCCTGCAGGCGTGCAGGGCATCTACATGTGTGAGCAGGTGAGGTGTCATTTGCATCAGCCGCTGTGGGCAGTGGGGGCATCACCTCGGGGAAGGAACTGACATGTGCCTCTGCTTTTCAGTTCTGGCCCAGCCTGGCTCTGGGCGGCTGCCTGGGAACAGCTACCTCTTGCACCTGTGCACAGGTTGGCATGGCTTGGTAGGGTATACACTCTCCAAGGATGCCCACTGAGGAAGTTTTCTTCACGTCTCATCATGGGAGTATGTCGTTACTGTGACCATTTCCAACAGACCCCTAAGAGCAGCCACAGATGGCGGTGGGAGAGGTGACCCCTCTCCCAAGGGGCTCCAAGTTGGCTATACCCTGCCTCCTCCTCCTCCCCAGGAGCCTCAGGATGTGTCTGCAGGTACCCCGATAGCTAATAGTCTTTAGCAGGTAGACGTGTGTACGGAAGGGCCAGCACATGCAAAGCTCCAAGCTGGGGGGGCAGGGGATGTCTGGCTCGGGGGGTGGTACCCCCGGCCTGTTTACTGGATCCCACTTGAGGTCCTCTTCTACTCATACATCAGTGCTCACAGTGACCTAAGAGGTAGGTACGACCATCAGCATCGCTATTTTTTAAAAACTATTTTATTTAACTTAATTTTTCTTAGTTTGACCAAAAAAGGGCCAGAGAGGGAGAGAGAGAGGGGGAAAGTGAGAAAGCAAGCCACCAGGCCGAGGACTCGAACCATGGTTGGCCATGTGGGAATCCAGCGCCCTTAACCACCACGCCAACTGCCGGCCCCCAGCATTCCTATTTTATAGTCCAGGACAGAACCCAAAAGATACAGAGAAGTCATATCACAGACAAATTCACCTAAGGCTGCATGGCACCGAGTGCCTCAGTTCAGGCGCCTTGCCTGGGTGACCACTGTCCCCTCATTCCAGCCAGACTCTTCTCTAGACCTTGAGATGAGAGCAATTGCTGGAGTCCCCTTCTCCCATCTCTCTGAGACTATCCAGTCCTCCCTCCTGAGGGTCCTTTCCAGTGCCCATAGCTCACTTATTTCTCTCATCACAAAAGGAAAAACAAAGCAATCCTTTTTTTAAAAAAATGTTTATTGGGGAACC